GGGACTGTCAGGGTTTAAAATATGTCTGAATTTGTGTGTGCGTTAAGGTCAGTGTGCAGAAAACATGAGCTGATTCAGTATGAATTGGAGATGGCAGCTCAGGACCTTGCCCAAAAGAAACAACAGAAAGAAGAGCTGGCAACCGGGGTAACACACTTTCACACACTCTGGCTTATAATCTGTCTTTCTCCTCGCTCGATATGTGCAAATTAAGAACCAGAAGTGGGCGTGTGTTCAAAAACACCGTTGTGATCCAAATTGTTGTGAACATAATTTAATGCGTGCATTTGTTTTTCCGTGTGTGTCTGTTTGTGTGTGAGTGCAGACGGTGCGAATTTTTTCTTTGAAGGGAATGACCAGTAAATTATTTGGCCAAGAGAGCCCGGAGCAAAAAGAGAGCAGGTTAGCAGCCCTGGAGCAGAGTATTCAGGAAGGAGAGGAAACGGTCAAGGAGAAGAACACCGAGTGCCAGTAAGCACAACACTATCTTATCAACCACTTACCTATTTTGAAATTATCCCTATTTTAAATTTCTCTTCCTCACTGTTCCTCCTCTGTGTAAAAAATATAGCACATAATCTGACTCTGTTTTCTGACTGAACTGTTGCAACTGAACAACATAAATGCAAAGAATAATAACAGGAGACTAGATAATTTTTTTCCCCAGCACAAACTGGTGAACTGAGGTATTTGCTGAAAGTGTTGAGAGACAAATTGAGGTTCCATGTGTAATTAAAAAGTAGTTGTATTCAATTTTCTTTTTCTTTTTTTTTTTTTAAACGGAAAAACAAAAGCCAGCGGTATCAGTAGAAAATACAGGAACTAGAACCTAATAAGAATAAGGAACAAAGCAAATGCTGCATTGTTTTCCTTTTCTTCTTCCTCTACCTCTTCTTTTGTTCTTCTCCCTGTGCTTCTTCTCCACGCAAACAGACTAACAGTATCATGCGTCTTTGTGATTGTGCCACCAGGGAGTTTGTGCGAGCAGCATGGGACGACATTGAACATTTTAAAGAGCAGAAAGACAAAGATTTGCGTGAGGCGCTGATAAGCTACGCCATTATGCAGATCAGTATGTGTAAGAAGGTGTGGGCATTTATTCTTGTGTATTTTGTGTATTTATATAAATTCCTAGCATGTGGTCTTTTGTTCAGCAGTACCACTCCTTAACTGTTTAGTATTTCTGTCTTGTCTTTCAATGTCTCTAAGTCACTCCTTTTCTCTGGTACTTGTGTACTGTTACAGGGAATCCAGGTGTGGTCCAATGCCAAGGAGTGTTTCAGCAAAATGTGAGCCAAACTTTCCAAAGCGATCGTACTGTACTGCACCAAAACTATACTCTGATTGTACAGACTAGGACCAACAGCCAGTGATTATACTGTAGTCCTGTGGAGAAAATGTGGGAACCCAAATGCTGCCTTTAATTTGTTTTGCTATACTTAGTTGAAGCACACACACATTAAAAAAGTGAAAGTGGAACAATGCCTCTTTAACGTCAGGTGTCTTAATAGAACCTTTTCCTTGATTTTCTGACCTTCGTACTTCAGACGGTCCAAATTTACACACTCATCCTTAGTTGCGCTTCATTAACATGTCCAGGAAGAAAATGTGGCATTATCATTGCACAATGGATCCATGGGATTATCCATGCAGTATATTTCAGTTGTTAGCTCTCAATAAGTCACAATGAATAACACAGAGCAGTATACTAGTTTATGAGTTGACACAGGCTGCACTTTGCAAACAGTGGTTCATGTGACTCGTTTTAGAGTTGCCCGCCTTGATGGAAGGATCTTTACGTGTTACCTTTCAACCCTCTCCAGAATCTCCTCACATAAAGGTTTTCATATTATTTGATTTTATGTGATTAATGGCAATAGTGATGAGTTAAAGAATGGGGAACTTGTTTCTGATAGAACTTCTAATGTTTTGCTTACGTTTGTGTTTCAATTTCAAATTTGCAACAGCAAGTCGAACCAAACAAAAGCAGAAGAGTGCACTGGTGAATGTTCAATTTGAAATGAACTGCAAGAAATATGACTGTAAACATGGACCGAGCTTTAGAAAGCCACTACACTTTTTACATTTCCATTTTCCTTTTTCTTTATTTTTTTTAAAAGTCATTTTATGTTCGTCACACAGAAGTAATCTTTGTTATTGTTAATCTGTTGCTGACCAAAGTATTGAAGACCAAGTGCTTTTATACTACAAATTTATAGTAGAAAATACAGAAGAAGGGTTGAAAAACTTCGGTTATGTGATTTTTGGGGGCTTTTTTGTTTTGTTTTGTTTTTTGGCTGAGGAAAGAAATCACTCTCACAATTTGAGTTTCATAGTTTTATTGTTTACACAAAATGTAACCGTAAATGCAAAAAATCTGATCCTTTAGTTGCTGTCAAGCATTGTAGCTTTAATGCAACAGAAAAAACCCCATATACAACTCAGCCCACTGTCAATGTGCCTCACCACTTATTCTGATATGACCTGAGTGCAGCTACACACAGATACAGACTGTTTTTTGGTTGAGATCCTCACATTAGGCTTACTTAAACAGCTTCTTCGATGACATCAATCTGAAGGGGAGAAAAATTGGTGCATAATGGATCTGACATCTGAATGTTGTGCTGAGATCAGCAAATATTTTTTTTCCCCAGAATAAACAATCGTTTTACTGAAAGAATCTCAAATTGAAGCTTTATGTATGTTTGTTTTGTTTTTTTTTCTAAATGACAAATGTGTCAGATGTAATCATTGTGTTATGACTAATAAACATTTCCCTTTTTTGAACTTACTGTTGTGTTTTTATAAGCGGGATGAAATGTGACTGCTGGTTTTGCTTAGCATGTAAAGGTGGCTGTGGGTGTTTTGATTCTTCGCGTAGACATGTTTGCTTTTCCTGTTTATATTTAGTTGCTGTTTAAAGATAAGAGAAACAGGCTTTTTATTACCAAAGTCTAAAGGTCAAACCTTAGTGATTCATCTCTGCCAAGATAACTCAAAACCATCCCCTCAGGGTTTTTTTTAAATTTTTAAGTTTTCCATGACACTTGGTGGGAGGAAAGTGAAAATGTGTCAGTGTTTATACTTTCTCAAATTGCTCATATTAGTGTCTTCAGTGGGTACATTGGTCAAATGCATGCAAATGTACTACACAGCACACAAAATGTAGTGTAGAATTCATTAAAAATGTCAACAAACGGCCCTAGATGGTGGCATGTTGTCTTCTGTGTTTTTATATCTGAACACAGCCCTGAACATTTGGAGTTTATTAAGATTTGAATTAATGGCGCCACCTGTGGATTAATAAAAGCACACGCATTTCACTTTGGCAGAGAGGAAAGGGTTTTTGTTTTGTTTTTTTAAATGGTGAGGAAAGGAAAATGTTCCCCTTTCGGATCCACCTTCTGGTCGGTTGGTTGGTGTGCATGAGGTCATATGTGGTTTTCTCAAATGGAAACCTAACATTAATTTAACATCAAAAACAGACCTAAGGCTTACATCAGTGATTTTCTGTCCTCTTCAGAAAATGATATTTTTAATAAATTGAAGCAAATTACAGACTTAATCTTAAATCTTATAAGTTTATAAATGTAGAATAGACAATCTAAATCATGATTAAACTTATGTGGAAATCCTTAAGTCATGAAGGGATAAGCTGCTGTAAGAAAACAAAACAGACAAAATTCTATTAGTTTAAGCAAGTTTTAGTAGTGTATGGTGTGTGTATTTTGCATAGGTTAAGTTGTGTCCCTGACCACAGATTAGTGACTGCACATGAAAATGGCTATGCAAAACTGAATTTCCCATGAAACATCGTTAGAATCAGCATGCTGCTCCTACAGTACTCATGCAGACAGCCCAAGGAGGTTGGCTATTTCTTTGCTTCAAGGGAGCAGAAAACCAACCTAGAAACTAGACATGATGAAAAGTATGTGGCTGGAAACATACTTTTGGGGTTTGGGTAATATTTGAAATTATTGAGAATATTTGAGGCCTT